ATATATATATATTATTTATATATATATATATATATATATATATATATATACCATATATATATATATATATATGTATATGTGTATGTCTATTATATATATATATATATATATGTATTGCATGCTACATATATTAATATATATGTATATGGATGTGTATATCTGAATATACATTATAAACCTGCGGAAATTTGTAGTGTGTAGAAATATACTTGGGTGTATTTGGGGTAATATAACTTTGGATAGCCGATTCACGTGTCGTGAAGCGGTTCTGAGCCCGACGTATGTAAAATGCTTAATATAGCAAGTCTGCTTTGAAACGAATTTGGGCTAAAAAAGATATCCATATTGAATTGCACTTTTACGTCTTTCGCAGCATAGTTTCAAATGATGAAATGACAGTCTGTAGAACAGACTCATTTTGTTGCCCAGAATTAGAGATAATTGATAAAAGCAGCAAAAGAGAAAGAAATCAAGTAGCGTGATTGCCTACATAGCATACTCTACGCTAACTTCCATACAGTATACTCTAGCCTGAAGGCTCACAGAATGCGTGCAAGCTATAAAAGATGCGCCTGACAGAGACTGGTAGCAGTATAGTAAAGACGTTGGGACACTTACCGGCAATCGGCAAGTGCAGTGTACATCCCGCTACGCGTTACGCTGAGTACAACCTCCATCTTATATCTGGAGATATGAACATGTGATGTGAAACTGTTATCGCCTCTTCAACCTGTTGGGTGTTCACGTTTCGATAAATATTCTCGCATCTACCAACATTTTGTTTGTACGTCTATGTACAAGAGAGAGAGAGCTATAACGGATAATAACCCCGTCATATGCACTCACCAGTAAGAAGTAAGAACCACAATTTAAATAAGTTAAAAAAATGAGATCTTTGGCAAAAATGTTGTTTGGGGCATGGCATCCACCAATTAGATGCATTTTTTCTCTGAAATTAGCCAACCAATGCTTGCCTCATATTTCCACTTGTGTTGTTAGTTATTTTTCCACACATACTGTAACTGACATATATTTATATGGGTTTTGGTTTTTTTTAAACAAATATGTTCGAAAAAAAGTTAATACGTATGTTGTATGAATTAAGCTAAATATCTCATTGTGTTCTACGTTGGCGTATAAAATTTACATCGTTTCTGTTTACGTTAAACATTTCCTTGGGTTTGGTCCTGTTTTTGCTCTAGAGTGGGTAGGACGGTAACTTTCCCCCCAAAATTTATAAACGTAAACTCTTGTGTAATCGAGAGGGTAAAATAGGTATATAAAAAATAGCAAAACAATATTTGAGGCTTGGTATCAGGTTGCTTTCGAATCATCGGGAATCTCAGAATCTGCAGCAGGCAAAAACGTAAGCTTTTATGAACCTTAAAAACCACGTTACATTTATGCATTATATACTGCGGGCACCATTGAATGTGCTTCATAACAGTGAAATCTTCCGAGTTTCAGCAACAAAAGGCTTTCATAGTCCAGTAAGTATGATAATGGTTATCCGTATTACACTTACATGCCAGGTAAAATAATTTCCTTCTAACTTACTAGTGAACAGACAAGTGGTGCCGTACCTCACATGACTTTGTGAACAGGCTCATCTTTATTTTATAGACGATTTCAAATACCGACGATGCCCGTGTCAACCGCAGAAGAAATTCAGCTAGAGTCTCTGACAACAGCCCTGAATGAACTTTCGAAGCCTCTTCTCGCATCTGATACACTAAGGTATCGCTGCATCGACGGCTGAACAAGAACATTTTTTCCAGAATGCGATATCGAAACATGAAAGTGGAAAGGATATTTTGTATTGTTTTTTACGACACACGCATGCGTATACACATACATACGTACACAAACTTATATACACATACACGAAAAAAAGACAAACAGACAAACAGACACACACACATACACACACACACACACACACACACACACACACACACACACACACACACACAC